ATATATATATATATATATATATATATATATATAGATATATATATATAAAATCCCGTCTGAGTCCAAACTGTGTACCAAACAGATCGAAGTAGAATGATCTTTGTAAAAAACACAAAAGTCACTTGCTAGACAAAACTGTGAAATCAATAACCAGATCTGAGGTCTTTTTCAAAAACATTCTTCTGCGAAGACTCCCAAATAAACCTAATTAAAGTAGCGTTATTCGGGGACTGGGCTTCAATTCAAGTCAGAATCAAATATTCTCAACCGCCGATGTTGCAGTACTAAACACACTGTAGAAAACAGGATAAATGGGGTTTAGACGGTTTGAACTCACTGTTCATCAGCACAGTTTCAGCCACATCGTCAGCATTATGTCCAGTACAAATTTTATTTGCACCAAGCAATACTGCACCACGATCCAAAGCCTGTCGACGAAATATTCCGCAGAATGTACCTGAATCGAGAGATTAAATGCGCATGTAGACCAAAGATGGGAAGCTTACAATTACGCTTCTGGCCAATCTTTTTCACTATCGCATCCATAGACCAACCAAATAGATCCTGGGTAAAAGGAATAACGGTTATACGACTTTTTAGAGAGAAACTTGCCTGATAAGACAAAATCGTTAACGGTAGACTGTACTGGAGTTTGTTTCGTTTCACCGTCTGTACAGACCAAAGAAGTAATCATGATAAAATTTGGGGGATAACATACCTCTAAAGAATCATCGCGATATCCGGCGATGCCTTCGTCAATAGACAATAGAAGCAATTCGGCACCGTAGTTATAGCGCTCGTTTAATACTTTGAGCACATGCGCAAGCACCGTCGAGTCTGCAATTTAGTGACCTAGTCAGACCACCGATGACCACGAGACTAACCTTTACCGCCGGAAGCACCGATTGCTATCCGATCCCCTGGTTGTATGAGATTCGAAGTGACAATAGTCCAGTGAATTTCTTCTTCAAAACACCAGGAGAAACAGGCCTTGCACATTACATCATTCTGTTGAAACCCCAAGCGGATGAGCTAATTTGGCATTCACGAAATCCTTACCGTTTTGGGGCGCTTGATAAATCCTTTGGAGCCGCATCGACAGCACGCAGATGGCATTCTGGATGGACCCAGAGAAGGGATTTGTTAACTAGCTGAATGAAAATGCATATGATTATCATGAAAGCAAGAGATTTGGAAAATTTGATGTTAACAGAATAATAATCATAATCGTACGGAGGAATGCAGTGAAGCGAACTTCACCGACCGCAGTGATCAGCGAAATTCATCTCACTGTATTTCGCTGTACGATGATAATGACCGCAGCCAAACTCCTAATGTATACGAGATAAGTGAAAACGTGTAAAATGGACGTGGATGGGTCCCAGCTAGAGAAAGGGAAAAAGAGGTGAACCTTTACGGTCAACACACAGAATACACAGTCTAACTGCGCAGATACCTTATGAATAACTCCGGTTTAATAAGCAGTGACGAGTACGCCACTGCTGCTGGTTTGGTTTTATATCCCTCAGTGTCTCCAACCCTCTAGTTAGGAAGGCGAGTGACCTGATCGCACTTTGCATTTATCCGCCTCCGAAAGCCTCAGTATGGTCAGGGGTGGGTGTCTACGGTTGCGGCTGGTCACCCTTCCCTCGCACCTCACGTAATGCTCCCATACGACCAAGTGTCTAAAATTGTCTCTGATGAGGAAGCCCTACTCACTGCCTTCTCGTGGTGGAGGTGTTTTCCCACCAAAGTGAGATGACAAAAAGCCGACATGCGGGACTATAACCGGGTTGGCGCACCACTGGCGGTTCACCTAAGGAAGTTGGCCAAAAACCCTGATTCCAAACCAACCAAGAAGAGGCGTACGTACCACACTCATCCAAAGCATCTTCGATGTGGCACTGGTCACCAGCTCGATTGAGCATCAAGATTCATTCGGCACCTTGGACGTTTGACCCCGTCCGAAGGGCGTATGATCCGATGAACTGGACACCGGC